CTTTACTCTAGTGATACAACTAAAGTAAAATCACTCTAAAAATAAATTTGACTATTTAAAGCAAAAATAACAACAGTGTACTGTTGAGTTTATAATATGTGAAGCAATACTATGTATAACAATAACAACACAAAGGTCAACAGGGGGGAAATGGGAGTATAATGTTGCAAGGTTCTGATTCTATATGTGAAGTGGTATAATATCACTTGAAAGCAGATTGTGATAAGTTAAAGATGTGTATTATAAACTCTAAACAACTGCTAAAATAATTCAACAATTATAGCTAATAAGCCAACAAAGCAGATGAAATGGAATCATAAAAAGTATTAATTTAAAAAGGAAGCAGAACAAAAAAGGAACAAATAACAAATGAGAGAAACAGAAAATAAATAGCAACATGGTGGATTTAAACCCAACCATATCAATTATCACATTAAATGTAAATGGTCTAAACACCCCAATTAAAGAGGCAGAAATTATCAGATTGGAACTTGCCAAGGTCATCTCCTAGACAGAGGTGGGGGTGGGCAGCCTGGCAGCTGTGCTCTAGCATCTCATTTTGTTGCCTCTTGGACACGTGGTCCCTTCTCTGTGGGCCAAAAGGGAAGGCAGGGCGCTTTGTGCCAGGAGTAGAGAATGGAGACTTCCCAGCGTGTGCTGCGGTAATGTCAATGCAGAGCAGCACTGAGTTAACCTCAGAAATCAGCTGCGAGCACCTCAGAATGAGTCTTCATCCACCACCACCTTCTCCCCGAGATCATTGGCTCTGATTCCAGAGTTCACCTGACTACCATAATCCAAGCAGCTGGGTAACCTCTGGGTGGCCCATCCCACCCTCAGGACAGTGATCTGCCAGCCAGCGTTAGAGACAGGATCTCCCTGTGAAGATAAACGCTTGGAAACCAGCCCTAAATGCCAAGCACCCGGATTGTTTTCCCCACTTGACGTCATGTGAGACTTTGTCCAATGTCTGCAGACTTCTCCCATGGAGGATAAGCGGCCAGGCTGGACACACAGTCTCAGAGGACCCAGGAAGCGTTACAGGCCTAATTTAAACCCGGACATCCATAGAGATATTTTGTTCACTCATTCATTTGTCCATAGAATGCTGATTGAGTGAGTACCTTCTGTGTGTCAGGCACTGTTTTAGACACTGAGAAAGCAGTGAAGACTGTGAAAAGTCTTGTGCCTCCCAGCGGCTTGCAGTCTAGTGAAGGGAGACAGACAGACATGCAATGAACTGTGATGACTGGTAAAATAGCAATCCTGACAAGGTCTGATGGATGCACCCAACCGGGTTTTGAAGGATGAGCAAGAGTCTTCTGAGGTGACAAGGCAGGGAAAGCCACCACAGGCAAAGGTCCAACAGTTACAAGGTGGCAAAGGTGAGTAGAAGTGGGATGTGTTGGGAATGTCTGGGGCTCTGGTCTTCATGGATAGGACACGTGAGGAGGTAAGAGCCAGGCAAACCTGGAGAAATAGCATGTGCCAGATGATAAAGAACCCGAATACCTGGCCAAGGAGTTTGGACTTGACCCCCTGGCCTGGAACAAGGTGTCCTTAAAGGATTTTATGCAGGTGGATGGCATGAGGATATCAGAGCTTCAGAGAGGCTACTCTGGAGGCAGAGGAATGGGCATGTGGGGTCTAGAGGAAGCCGCTAGAGGCAGAGAGGTAAGAGACAGGGCTGGTAGGGAGAAGCTGGCATAATGGGGGTCAGAGTTAGGTAAATATCTGTCTGGCTGACAAGGAGGAGGTGATGAAGTGGTGAAAGGGCAGGGCCTGGAAACCCATCAGACATGGGGGAGGCGTGGAAGCTGGGGAGGGCTGTGCTGGAGCAGATCTAGAAGATGTTTCTGTGGGGGTATCACAGCCCAGGGTATCACCACAGACAAAGGGGAGGGCTGGGGGGGGCAGTGTTCTCTTCACCACTGGCTCTGACAGTGATGGAGAGAGGTGGGCCCTGTTACCCACAACACTATGGGTAGCCTGGATTTCTTGCAATCCTATGGGACTGCCCTCTCAAGCTGATAGAGGAGGCCAGAGGGGGACTGGGATAGACAGAGCACCAAATGTGGCCATCCTCACAATACACAAAGCTAAGAATCTCAGGAAGCAATGCCTGGGAGAGTAGTGGGCGTGATCTCTCCACTGCCTCCCTGCCCTTCCTAAACTCTAGCCACACTTGCCTGTCCCCAGGCACGCTGTGCCCACTCTGCCTCCAAGCATGTATATATGTGATTCCCTCTGCCTGAAACTCCTACTGCCTCCATCCTGCTCAATTTGGCTAATTTTTCCTTTAGGACTCAGCCTGGATTTCCCAGCCCTCGGGTGACTTAGGGTTCCTCTGTGCCACCCTCCCCTACCTTCTTGTCACATTTCTAATCACAGTGATATGGTGCCCTTTCTTCTTGTCACTCACCACTACTAGACGGTGCGTGCCTTGGAAATTGGAAATGGGTTGTATTATTTCTTAATTTTCAGGGTCAGCATGAGGCCTGAAAGAATGCACAGGCAATGTAGGGGTGGATGGTGGGAAGAAGGGAGGGATTGATGGAGGAGTGATTGGAGGATCCAATAGATGGAAAGAAAGAAAGAAGGAAGGGAGGTAGAAAAGAAGAAGGGAGGAAGAAATAGAAGGAAGGAAAGAAAGAAGACAGGGAGATATGGGTGGACAGAGGAATGGATGGATTCATGAGGGATTGATGCATGTATAGGACGACGGAAGGATGGATGGATGGAGAGATTTACAGACACATGAGAGTATGAATTAGTGAAGGAATGAGTAAATGATTGATGGAGTAGGAGAATGAACAAATAATGAGCAGGTGAATAAATAAATAAATGATCAAAAGAATGAATGAGCAAGTGAATCAATGTTTGAGTGGATGGATGAATAAGTAAATAAGAAAATAAGTGACTGAGAGAATGGATGAATAAATGAGTCAGTAAAATCTTTGCCTAAAATAAGACAAAAAAATAAATGGATTGATGAATGAGCCGATAAACGAAAGTAGTTAGTAAAGAAATATCGTTGGTAATCTGAGCCTTCCCACCCAGCAATATTTGTAGCCCTAATTTCTTTAGCCAGTTGTGGACGTGGCTGTATCCCCAGTATTTGTAACTGTATCTGGTGCATAGTAGGTATTCAATAAACATTTGATGAATAAATCAATGGATGAATGAATGTTGGTAGACCCATTGACCCAGTGCTGTGGCAAACACTGAGGTTGATATTAGGAGCCTGGTTTCTAATCCTAGCCCTTTGCTTTTCAATGATGTCACTCTGAGCTCAGCCCCTTTCTTCTCTGAGCCTGTTTCTCTATCTGTAAAATGGAAAAATTGCCTTTATTTGTCAAGGCTAAGATAAAGATGTCATTGTTACCAGAAAGGGGTCCTGATCCAGACCTCAAGAGGGGGTTCTTGGACCTCACACAGGAAAGAATTCAGGGGAAGTTCATAGAGTAAAGTGGAAGCGAGTTTATTAGGAAAGTAAAGCATAAGCAGAGCAGTGGTGTGAGCTGCTCAACTGAGTATACTTATAGTTATTTCTTGATTACATGCTAAACAAGGGGTGGATTATTCAAGAGTGCTCCAGGAAAGGGGTGGGCAATTTCCAGAACTGAGGGTTCCTTCCTGCTTTAGACCATATAGGGTAACTTCCTGACATTGCCATGACATTTGTAAATTGTAACGGAGCTGGTGGGAGTGTCTTTTAGCATGTTAATGCATTATAATTAGCACATAATGAGCAGTGAGGATGACCAGAGGTCACTTTCATCACCATCTTGGTTTCAGTGGGTTTTGGCCAGTGGTTTTTTGTTTTGTTTTGTTTTGTTTTGTTTTGTTTCCCACATCCTGTTTTATCAGCAGGGTCTTGTGACCTGTATCTTGTGATACTAGTCCTGCCGACTTCCTATCTCATCCTGTGACTAAGATTGTCTGATCTCCTGGGAATGCAGCCCAGTAGGTCTCAGTCTTATTTTACCCAGCCCCTATTCAAGATGGAGTCACTCCTGTTCCAATGCCTCTGACACAATAATAAGAGCCACATGGCAACAATAAGGGCTCAACAAGTGTTCATTCACTCTGGTCCCCCAACTCTTTTTGTACTACCTGAAATCCCTTCTGGATAAAGCCCATACCATGTCTCTTCTCTCACAGAAGCACACTTTCTCATTTGAACATCTGAGCAGCTGAATTTCACCCATAGCACCTCCCAGGGCTTGGTCAAAGGAGACAAAGACTCTCTCCTTTGACACAAACTAGTCTGTCTCCTCTGAATCCTCCACTTGCCTAGGCGACCTCTCTGTCCTTGTAGACTCCAGCTGGAGCAAGAATCCTGCTAAATCAGTTTAGCAAAAATCCCCACTCTTGGTATCCGACCACAGTGGATATCTGATCAGCTTGGCCTGCCTTCAGCCATAATCCTATCACGTTAGTTTAGCCAGAAAATCCCTGAGGTTTCCTCTTAGTAATTTTCCATCCACGGACCCCCGCCCTGCTCCTTGGATATAAATTCTCACTTGTCCCTGTTGGAGTCAGAACTGAGTCCCAGCTCTCTCCCCATCGTGAGACCCTATTGCAGCCGTCCCTATACCTATCGCCAGGGACCCCTAAATTGGCCTTACCACCTTCAGCGAGTGCCACGAATAACGTTTTCTTTACGAGTTCTGGGCTCATGAAAAGCTCTTCCTCTCAGACGTTCCAACCTTAGTTGAGAGCTCTCAACATTTATAGTTTACTATTTTTGCTTTTATCATCATCATCATTATTGAAAATTTCCTCCAGAGCTTCAGGCAGAGCTAGGTAGACAAAATACTTCGGGCCTGTTTTTATCTTCGTTTTTAATTTTAAATGGAGAAAACATGGGATAGGTGGAGGAAGCAAAAGTGCTTTCTACTCGAGTGAGGCTTAGATTTCTGAACAGCACTATCCAAGCTCACTCTCCACTGGTTCCGATGAAAGCTGGGGCAAACCATATTTCCCTTTCTTTGCAGTGAGGAAATTGCTTAATCATTTGCAGGCTAAGAGGAAAAACCGCACTGCACAACAACATATTTTAATAGGAAGCACCAAGATTTCTCATCTTAATGCTAACGACCGCCCGTTTATATTAGATGATCCCTGAGCGCCTCTCTTGTCTCCTTGAGTTCGAACCGTTAAGACCACCTGGACGGTAGGGAAATCCTCCCTCAACGTGCATTGCTCATCTCGCCACGAGGGGGCGCTCCCAGATCAGAGACATGCGGCTGCCGCCCACCCGCCTCGCGGCCGCCACCTCCTGTGCATGCAGCATCTTCGCGCACCGGCCCAGAAGGCGGGGCCAGGGATCTCCTGCCCCATGAGGACACCCTGAGGTCCAGGTGCAGCCCTGAAGGCTAGAGCAAGGTCACTATTGAGGAACAAGATGTTGCTTGAGACGTCCCGGGATCTCTCTGAAAACTCTGGACCTCTGGGAAGTCAAAGGGGACTGCACTGAGGGCCTACTATGTGCCAGGGCTTTGTGTAACCCAAGTTATTCACTCCACAAACACTGAGGGCCTGCAGAGGTGGCTGTCCAAGAAGGGAAGGAAGTTGAGGGTGAAGGAGGGAGCCTGACCCTCAGACCAGTTTCCCTGGCAGCCAGCAGAGCATTCCGCAGCATGTTGCCAAGCAAGAAAGTGGTCTCAGCTGTGCACTAGCTTCAGCCTGCTCCCAGGGGAGCTCTGGAGCGGGCACTGCACTACCACGAGGTGAGCGACTGGTCTTTTGCACCCCCAGATCTGGAGTGGGGAGGGGTACGACAGCCAGAATCAGGGGCCGGGGTGTGGCTCCCATAGCATCCACCCCAAATGTTAGCAATGATTGTTTTCGGATTGTGGTTACGTTGAGGATCCGTCCCTTAGGCAGAGAGCATGGAGGTAGCTCTCAGAGACACTCTGTCTTCCAGGGCTCCCCAGGGTTCCTCAGTGTCAGCCCCAACTCTTTCATGAGAGTGTGCTAGGACCTCCTTCTCCAAAAGAAAATCTCCAGTGAAGATCAATGTGTAACTTTGGGAGGTTGAGATGAGAGAGCTGATGAGATGATATGGTGGGGATCCTTTAGGAGTTCCCAAGGCCTGCTGGTGCTCTCTGCATACACACCTGTGCCCAAACTGCACCAAGCTCATTCTCGATGCTTTTCCTCTTTCTGTCTCCCAATCCAGTCAGGTGCCTTGTCCTGCCGATTCCATACCCTTAATGTTCCCTACCCAGACTGGCAGTTACCATGTAGTTAGCAGACAAGCAAGAACTTTGGGGGTTACCCCTAAACCCCAACTTAGCTCCTGAGTGATCTCGGGAATGTCAGTGTGGAAGGGATTTTTTTGGTTGCAGAAAAGGTTTCTTGCAAGTATTTGTTACTTAATATTCAATGTAATATAGTAGCTTTAAAAAAAAATCCTAGTCATTCACTTTACAAAACTTATTATTTGATTTCTATGCAGTCAGTTTCAAGGGGCTTTTGATTAATGGTCAATCGACTCACTCGGTTAAACGATCCGTCCCAATTGCAAACTTGCTTAATTAAATTATCTTCAACATTTTACACAGGACTTACTAATTTAACATATTCAATTTCCTTTTTTAAACACTCTCATTGCCTGACCTGACAAGCAAAACTTTCCAAAGTACTTAAACCACTTTGGAAAATCTAATTTAAAAACTTATACAATAGTGAATCTCAAGATCTCTTACACATTCTGGAGTCATTTATAAATTTAGTATAAAAAGATTCGTGTGCTTCTGAACAGAAGAATCACAAGTCTAAACTCAATTACACATTTTAAATAGGAGTCACAAGGCTAATTTGTTCATACTCTAATATGCAAAAAAACCCTCTTCAATGTTATGAATACTTTAAATACCAACTACACAATAATATGAGTTTAACTTCTAAATCTTTGTGAGGTTAAAAGATATCTGCCCAGTGATGGAAAAGTTTTCCATTTTAAGGTAATTGGGGTGACATCTTTCAGCACATTGTACTACCTCAGGGGCAAAGGTTTCATATTGTGGCAGAAACTGCTGGATCCCCGATATCCATGCTCCCCTGCCTCCTTAGAAATAGAACCTCAGACTCTAAATGGGCCAGTTGGCCACCTAGGATAAAGATGGCATTTGCCAGCCTCTTTCCATCTAAGTGTGGCCATGTGACTCAGATCTGGCCAGTGAGATAAGCAGAAATGTTATGTAGCAACTTCCAGAAAACTGTCTGAAAAGACAGCTGGCGTGTATGTCCTTTCCTCCTCTTTTTTATTTGTTCCTCCATCTTGCCACCTGGACCACAGGCATTGATACAATTTGGATTTTGCCCTGTCCACATTTCATGTTGAGTTGTAATCTCCAATGTTAGAGATGTGGCCTGGTGGGAGGTGTTTGGATCATAAGGGTGGATCCCTTGTGAGTGGTTTGGGCCATCCCCTTGGTGGTGAGTGAGCTCTCACTGAGTTCACATGAGATCTGGTCATTGAAAAGTGTGTGTGGCACCTCCCCCGACCCCTTTCTCTCTCTTGCTCCTGCTTTCGCTCTGTGATGTGCCTGCTCCTCCTTCACGTTCCACCATGGTTGTAAGCTTCCTGAGGCCTCCCTAGAAGCCAAGCAGATGCCAGCACTATGCTTCCTGTATGGCCCACAGAACCATAAGCCAATTAAACTGCTTTCTTTATAAATTACCCAGTATCAGGTATTTCTTTGTAGCAATGTAAGAACAGCCTAACACAGGTGGAATGCTTGGATTCCAGTCACTGTCTTGGACCTGGAGGTCCAGGGTCCCTCTTTAGGGTGGGTGGTGTGATGGGTTAGAAGAATTCTGGGATTCTGACAACTTCATGAACAGAACATCCACTTCAACCTGTGAGAGATTGTTTGGGAAGATCCCTGCCATCCCAGTGCTTCCTGGCAATGTGACTTTGCCCTCTTCCCATCAAGAGACAAAGTTTGTTTCCCTCCCTTGAATCTGGATGTGTCCCTGAATCAACCCAGCACTGCACTCCCACCTCCGTGTGGCAAAATTGACATTGGGTGACTTTTGGAGCCTGACACTTCCGTGTGAGAAAGCCAGCCTCGCCTCCCAGAAGATGAGAGTCTCCAGCCAGGAACATCAGCTGCCGGCACTGGAGTAAGCCCATGTAGGACCCTTCTGCCCAGGCCACCTTCCAGTTTCCTGCAGTTTCAGGAGGCAGCCCAGGAGAAACCCACAGGGGAAGTTCACCAGTGTGCAAAATATGAAGCGTAAATTGTTGTTTTCAGCCACTAAGTTTCAAGGTGGTTTGTTGAAGCAGTGAAAGCTAAATAAAATCCAGCCCTGTGCTGCCCACCTCTGACTTTTTCATGAGAAAGAAACTTTGATCTTGTTTAAGGCATGATGGTTTTGGGTCTTGGGTGAACGGAATCCTGATGCACACATGCACCTCTGGACCAGAGATTTTTGCTTTGATGTGATACCTCAGTGGCCAGGGTGATTCTCTCTTGCTGCTGATGGATGTGCTGAGCCCTTTTTTTTTTTCAATTGGTTGCTATGACAACAAGGGACTCCATTTCCTCTAAAGAGGTTGGTATCTTGTGGGCAATTAGATTCTGGCCATACCATTACCTAATTCTTCTGTCTGATCTGAGACCAGAGTTCCCCCCACCTCCCCCCAACACCCCCCCAACACCCCCACCTTGCTCTCCTCCTGCCCAGGAGGTCAAAGCTGGCTTCCTTTGCTAATCTCCTTATTGCTTAATTGAATTCTGAAGCTGTTTCTTGCCCTTGCTGTCTGCTCAGGCTGAACTCGGATAGATACTTAGAGGCTTCCTTTTGGTTTCTGCATCTCTCCCTTTCTGAGCTCTGAGCTATAACATCCCTTAAGTCAAGTTAGATAGAGAATGAGAGCCTTCTCCTGCCCCAAGCCTCTGTTTTCTTATCTGCAAGATGGAGACAGTTTACCAACCTAGCAGGGTTATTGGGAGGTCTCTGAGACTCTGTCTACAAACACCTTGCAGTTCTCAGCCCCCTCACTCCCTGCTAAGGCCCCGAATGGCTTCCTGAACATTGGCAACAAAATCGCAGATGCTCACTGTGGCCTTAGGTCCTGCTCGCCTCTCACCTCCTACAGTCCTCACCAGCCTCACTGACCTTCTGAGGGTCTGCAGGCCAGCAGTGCTCCCACCTCTGAGCCCTTGCTCTTGCTCTTCTCTCTGCCTGGGGTGTCTTCCCCTCAGCTCTTTCATGGCCACTCCTTCCCCATTCTTCAGGTCTTATTTTATTTTATTTTATTTTATTTTATTTTATTTTATTTTATTTTATTATTTTATTTTGAGACAGAGTCTTGCTCTGTCACCCAGGCTGTAGTGCAGTGACGTGATCTCGGCTCGCTGCAACCTCTGCCTCCCGGGTTCAAACGGCTCTCTTGCCTCAGCCTCCCAAGTAGCTGGGAGCCTGCTACCACCACGCCTGGCTAATTTTTTGTACTTTTAGTAGAGACGGGGTTTCACCGTGTTAGCCAGGATGGTCTCGATCTCCTGACCTCGTGATCCGCCCACATCGGCCTCCAAAAGTGTTGAGATTACAGGCATGAGCCACCGCGCCCGACTAGGTCTTATTTTAAATGTCATCTCCCCAGAGAAGTTTTCCCTAACTAAATCATCAGAAGAGCAGCAACCCCATCAAAAGTAATAAAAACAACATAATGAAATTATAACTTTAATAAATAGTTCTTAGCTGAAAACTTATGTCCACACAAAAACCCACACATGAATGTTTGTAGCAGCTTTCTTCATAATTGCCAAAACTTGGAAGCAACCAAGATGTCCTTCAGTAGGTGAATGGATGAACTGTGCAATATCCATCAACAGAATATTATTCAGCGCTAAAAAGAAATGAGCTATCAAGCCACAAAAAGACATGGAGGAACTTAAATGCACATTGCTAAGTGAAAGAAGCCAATCTGAAAATACTACATACTGTGTGACTCCAACTATAAGACGTCGTGGAAAAGGCAAAACTATGACAGTACAAAGATCAGTGGTTTCCAAGGGTTTGAGAGGGAGGGATGAATAGGCAAAACACAGAGGGTTTTTAGGACACTGGGACTTTTATTTATATATTATATTACATATTATACATAAAACATATTTATATATTATATATTAGTGGGACTAGTATTTTAATATTATTCTGTGTGTTACTGTAATGGTATATCCATGTCATTACGGGTTTTTCTCAAAACTTACAGAATATACGGTACAAAGAGTGAACTCTAGTAACTGCATCAATATTGGCTCATCAATTGTAACAAATGTTCCACACTAATGCAAGATGTTAATAACAAAGAAAACTGCAGGTGTTGGGAGGAAGTGAAGAGATGTATGGGGATTGGCTGAACTTTCAGTCGAGTTTTCTGTAAACACAAAACTAAAAAATGGGCCGGGTGTAGTGGCTCACGCCTGTAATCCCAGCACTTTGGGAGGCTGAGGCGGTTGGATCACCTGAAGTCAGGAGTTTGAGACCAGCCTGGCCAACATGGTGAAACCCCATCTCTACTAAAAATACAAAAATTAGCCAAGCATGGTGGCCTGCGCCTACAATCCCAACCACTTGGGAGGCTAAGGTAGAAGAATCACTTGAACTCAGAAGGAGGAGGTTGCAGTGAGCCGAGATTGCGCCACTGCACCTAGATTGGGTGACAGAGTGTGATTCATTCTTGAAGAAAAAAAAAAACATTAAGTCTATT